TGTGTTTCCGAAGATAATGAAATAAATGAGAATAATAGATTATAAAATAACCAAAATAGATTTCATTTGAATTAATATACTTTTTTTAACCCTCACCCAAGGATATTTTTCCATTGATTTTTAGAGAGAGTGAAAGAGAGAGGGAAAGATAGAGAGAAATATTGATGTGAGAGAAACACATAGATTGGCTGCCTCCTGTGGAATCGAACTGGGGACTCTTTGATCCACAGGCTGACGCTCTATCCACTGAGCCAAACTGACCAGGGCTAAATTAATATACTTTTGAAATGACTTTTTAACTTAAACTCTTTGGTTCATAAACATGCATTAGGGGATGTGTTTATAGAGATGTGTGTGCGCACACTCACAAATGTACACCTTATTAAGACTGAGTTCTGAATGAGGAAATATGCAAATTGATTTTTTTTCTAATGGAAACTTGAGATAAAGTATGAATTTTGAATCTACAGATGGCATGCTTTCAAATATCATAATATGGAGACTCTTCTTTCCTTTCCCTTATACAAAATAGCACCAGCTAAATTTCGAGTTGATTAGAAAAAGCATGGATTAGAAGTAGAAGTTAGATTCTACCTTGGGCTCCTCAGAGGGTGTGGTGAGTTATTCTCCATGTATTTGGAACAACCTCTAAAAAAAAAAATACTCATTGGGGGCCATTCAGCAATGGGAAAGATAGTTTCTGAGGCACACAAATCTGCCGAAAGTGCTCTTTTTGGTTATCAGGCACATTCCAATGTCCAGGTTGTGCCTGGCACTCCAATAGGCATGGCAAAGTATCAAATAGAATGGCAGGGTCTTTGATCTGGCTTTTTAGCCAAATGAAAATATGTAAAGGAAGAGGAAAAAATGTGACAGCTGGAAAAGGCTTAGAGAGCTAGGGTTTAAATAGGTTCAGTCATCTTCTGATGAAGAAAAGAGGACACTGTGGTAACTGGACATTTGTAAGGGATGGTGCTAGGCTACCTAGCAATGTCTTGTTAACCCCTTAGGCGTAGGTAAGTTTCTAGAATGGTAGGTTTAGAATGGATTTTTTAAGGAAGGAGAGTGGGACTGAGAGGGAATTTCTTTCTGAAAGTCACATAAGTCTTAAATATTGTAAGTAGTAAATATTAGAACCTCGCTGGTATAGATAAGAGGCAGAACATAGTATTAAAAAAGCATGGGACTGGAGGAAGATCACATGGGCATAAACCCAGTTTCTGCTTCTTAGTAACTGTGTAATCTTGGGAAAGTCACTTAACCTCTCATTGCCTCAGATTCCTCATCTAAAAAATGAAATGCTGACTATATTAAATAATGTACTGTATGAAAGAAGAGTATGTAAGTGCCTGGAACATGATAAACACAGTTATAATAAATAAGAAATCATAGCTATTATGAATGCCACCAGGACAGAAAACTATTCGTGTGATAACCAAGTATAATGTATCCTTTTATAGTTGTTTGACCAATTCAGAAAAGATAAATGAGAACCAAGTCCTCCACATGAAAAAAAGAGTATAGTCAATCGAAGATGCTACTTTCTGGGAACATTCATACATAGCAAAACATTTTTAGAGCCTTAAATATTACCAGTTGAATTTATTTAAGTAGCGATCTATTCAGACTTCTGAAATAAAGGATTTTCCTTTACTGAAAAAATATCTATTTTATCTTAAGCATGAAACCCAGTGACCCGGGCTTGGTAATCTCTCCAGAAGCTTCCACTATATCTTTATGCTGAGCACAGTATAAAGATATAGATTGAAGCACATTTATTTCAGATAGTATAGATTGGAGGCACAGCTCTGTGTGCAAGTGGGCCATGAAAAATGCAACCTCAACTCTCCCCTTGAACCCACAGTAATTTATCTCAAAAATATTGTTGAGCCCCTTGAACTGTGAAGTAAGTAACTTACTCCCAGTATCTTTAAATCTTCTGCAGGGGACAAGCCAGTACTATGCCTTGTGCTCTAAGCGTTTTTGCAACATGGCTTAGAACTGTGAACATCACCCAGAATGCTTCAAGGGGTGATTCTCTGAAGGACAATGTGCCCAGGCTAAGTTCTCTCAGGGAGCAAAATACTTTGTAAATGAGAGAGGAAATGAAAAGTCAGCTGCAATGCCTCATTGGGTCCCGATGTTCCCAAACAAAAGGGGAAACCACTTACTCACTCACTGCAATAATATTTTGAGTGTTTTATTCATTTATTCTCTCTATATATTTACTGAGCACCTACTCTGCATCGGGCACTGTTCTAGGCACCAAGAATAGGAAATGAACACAATGAAGTTGATCTGTTCATGAAGCTGACCTTCTTTGTACCACCCACTGTATTGAGGATGCACAGATGGATGAGCCCCAGCTCTTCTCTGCAGGGTGTTTCAAGAAAAGAGGGAGAGAGGGAGAAGGCAGTAACATGTGGTGTGGTAAGGGCTTTGGAGCTCCTCATGACCTCCAAAGATCATTGAGGATTTCCTAGAGAAGATGATCTCCAGGATGACTCCTGAAGGGAAAAGAGGAGTTAACCAGTCGTCATTGTAGGCAGATAGAGCATCTTGGCCAAGGCCTACAGAAATAAGAAGAAACTGCAGTGGCTTAGTGTACTGCATGATCGGATGGTGACAGATAGGGCCCAGATGATGAAGGGTCTTAGAAACTATGTTACATGGTTTTATCCTAGGATAATTGGTAGCTATTGATCGATGTCAATCAAGGAGTGACATGAGCACATTTCAACTGTAATATAGAGAATAGACTAGGAAAAAGGCATCAAGGGTACCACAGTGGGAATGCTGCAGTACTAAACAGGTGAGGAGCAATGTGGTCAAACAAAGGCAGTGAAAACGGATGGGGAAAATTGGTCAGGTCTGAGAAATATTATGGAAGTGATTGCCTGGAAGTGGGTGGTAAGGGAGAGGGTGGAATAATAGCTGACTCCCAGGTGTCTAGCGTGGGAAGCTATACAGAGGATGATGTCAGTCACTGAGAGATGGACGGAGGTGGAAGAACAAATTAAGAATGAGAAACTATGATTAGTTCAGTTTTGAACATATTGAGATTGGGGCATCTAAGTGGAGGTGTTCAGTAGGCGGTTGAATAGCCTAAAGATCAGGAGATAGCGATGGACTGAAGTGATCCAGGTAAAATGATCAAACCCTGGGCAAGAGCCTGGAAAACACCACATTGATTTGAAGAGGGGAGCCCAGAGATGACTAAGCAGGAAAGGACAGAAGGCTAAGAGAAAAATCAAGGTCTGTGGAGTCACAGAAAAGAGGGGGAGGAAGGGAGAGTTTCAAGAAGAATGAAGTCATCAGCATCAAATACTGATAGAGGCCACTCATCAGAGGCACTGAAACTTGTCTATTGGATATAGCAACAGAAAGGTCATTCTCTAGTAGGGTGACCGTCTGTTTGGTTTGCTTGGAACTGTCGGGTTTATGCCTATTGTTCCAGTGTTATTATCATTAGTGCCCCCTAGCATCTAAATTTGAATAGTAAATTACATGATCATCCTGGCTATTGGTTAGTAATAGTAGTCAAAGATAGACTGCAGTGAGTGTAGAGATGAATTGGAAGAGGGAAGCATCAAAGAAGGGAACTTTTTGAAGGGGTGTGGTGAGGCTATTAGAGAGGGAATTTTAACCTCAGGTGGTCATTGAACTAGATGGATTTTGAGTTTCTTCCAGTCCTGGGAATAGTTCATTACTTTCTGTTACTATTTCCTTTCCTTCCCTTAAAATCAGTGAGAATCAAGAATCTGTCCTATTTCTTATCTCCACACATTACAAAGCTAAATGCTGTTTTGCAAAGGCAGTATAAAGCAGAAATGTGTAAGTTGATTATTTCCCTTAAGAAAGTACTGCTAGTCCTAAATTAAGCACAAGAATCATTGTGGCTTTTAAATTACTTTGTATGGTAAAGCATTAGCAATAATAATTAGGTTGGGAGTAAGTATTCTGCCCCTTTTTGCAGATATTGTTGTTTTAGGAATGCCAAGGGGAAAATACAAGCCTCCAAGTTCATTTACGTCTTCTGATTTTCGGAGCTTCCAGGTTAGACCAAACAGATGTCTGAGTTTAAACATTTATACTTAAAATGAGAAAGATATGGGTGCCTCTCTGTATACCATTTAGGTGGAGAAATCATAAAGAATGTATCTGAGGTGATTAAAATAAAAATTGTTATGACTGAAGTCATATCTCAGAGCAACAAACAATGTATATAAAATGGAATGATTTTTAAGCCCATATAGATATTGTACTAGGTAGGGAAGCAACACAGAGTTTTGAGTCCCTTTGCCTTCCCTGCAGAAGTTTGACAAAGACAAATAATAACACCCCTTGGAAATGTCCACATGTAAGCATCCTTCCCCAATGCTGTTGCATTTGATTATTGAAGGTCAAGCTTTCAGTTATAAGCCTGCCCTTCCCTCCCCATCCCTCACTGTTGTTAGTTCAGTTTTTAGTAATTAGGCACCTTTGGAATTATGATGGGGTGACTTTTAACAGTCCCTTGTTATTGTTAAGATAGAAATGGCTGCCTTTAAGAAAGGTAGGGGAGGGGGTTTCTTTGAAAGATACATCTATTTGAGGAAAGAGGCTAATGCGAAGCAGTAAATTGTACAGCAGCCATAATTCCTCTGCCATAGCTGGGCCTGTGAATAGCCCCATAAAGCATGCTGTAGCAGAAAAGCATCTTTCCTCTTCCTCTCTCTCAGGGCAATTAATAAAAGTGCAATCTGTTACTAATCTGACTGCATACTATTATGTTAACTAGTCAGTGTAACTAAAAAAAATTCCCGAGCATATTTCAAACACTTGCATATTATGTGTTCAGTCTGTCAATAAAATTATGCCAAATAGACCTTTGTGAAGGCAATTTACCCTTTGTTCATTGGATACCTAAGCTAATCAGACCGGAAGCAGAATGCACTGCTTTTCTATCTCAGATCCATGCACTCGCCCATCGTCTCTGTTTTGTTTCTCTTGTTTTGCAGTGGAAATGGCCTCGCTTCTGCTTCCCTTTTGGAGCGCTGCCACCACATAGGACCTGGATGTCCTGCTGTTTCCCAGGCACAGAACGAAGACGCTTGCTCTGTCTATTTCGGTGGCAGCCTGGTCGTAAAACAACGGTGGAGCGGGCCAGGGTTCCAGCAGACCGTCACGTGAATGGGACCAGTTTCTCTCCTTCCCAAGTATCAGCAAGTAAACCCTTGGAAAGGAGATTTGGCCAAGATGACCCACTTACAGGCTGGACTCAGTCCAGAGACTATAGAGAAAGCTCGGCTGGAACTGAATGAAAACCCAGATATTTTACACCAGGATATTCAGCAGGTCAGGGACATGATCATCACCAGGCCTGACATTGGATTTTTACGTACAGATGATGCCTTCATCCTGAGATTTCTCCGAGCCAGGAAGTTTCACCAAGCAGATGCCTTTAGACTCCTGGCCCAGTACTTCCAGTACCGCCAGCTAAACCTGGACATGTTCAAAAACTTCAAGGCCGATGACCCTGGCATTAAGAGGGCGCTCATCGACGGGTTCCCTGGAGTGCTGGAAAACCGCGACCACTATGGCAGGAAGATTCTCCTGCTGTTCGCAGCCAATTGGGACCAGAGTAGGTAAATGTAGATAGCGTCTTTACTTGGCTTTTCTTGTTCTTAAGCATAGCCATTGCATGTTGGGGCTTTATGGCTTTATGGATAGTAGGCTTTCATTAAAATATAAATATATTCCAGCCCAGCAGGCCCGGCTCAGTGGTTGAGTGTCAACCTATGAACCAGGAGGTCACAGTTCAATTCGGGGCACATGCCTGGTTTACAGGCTTGATCCCCAGTATGGGGCATGCAGGAGGCAGCCGATCAGTGATTCTCTCTCACCATTGATGTTTCTAACTCTCTCTCCCTCTCCCTTCTCTCTGAGGTAAATTATATATATAATTGAGACCTGGTGCATGACTTTTGTGCACTGGGTGTGTGGGGGGGTGTATCCCTCAGCCCATCCTGAGCCCTCTTGGAGTCTGGGACTCCTTAGCACTGCTGTAGAGATTTGCATATTAGCCTTTTATTATATAGCACTAGGGGACCGAGGCACAAAATTTGTGCATGGGGGGCAGGTATCTCTCAGCCCTGCCCATGCCCTCTCTTGCAATCTGAGACCCCTCGCTCCTAACCACCCGCCTGCTCACTCCTTACTGCTTGGCTTGCCGCTCCTTAGCACTGCCGCGGAGGCAGGAAAGGCTCCAGTCACCGCCGCTGAGCTGCCAGCCGTGACCCTGGTTTCTGGCTGAGTGGTGCTCGCACTGTGAGAACTCACTGACCACCAGGGGGTAGCTCCTGCATTGAACGTCTTCCCCCTGGTGGTCAGTGCACATCATAGCGACCAGTCATTCTGGTCGTTCAGTCATTCTGCCATAATGGTTGCTGGGTTTTTATTATATAGATATTAGAGGCCCGGTGCATGAAATTTGTGCAGGGATAGGGTTCTTAGGCCTAGCCAGTGATCAGGGCTGATCAGGGCCTTCCGGCTGCCAGCCAGAGCCTTCCTTTGTTCTGCGATGCCCCCTGGTGGTCAGCGCACGTCATAGTGAGCGATTAAACTCCCAGTCTCTTGATCAAACTCTTGAGGGGACACTTTGCATATTAGCCTTTTATATATATAGATATTTCACAAACCCACAAAGGAAGTGTTTAGGCCATGAGTTTACTGTCATCAAAAGGTAGTTCTAGATTCATGGCTGTTTTGGGAACAACAGAATCATATGTTAGAATTGTGAGACACCTTAGAAGTCACCAGTTTCTTCATTAAAGTGAGTCATACATTTTAACAAAATTAAAAGCTGGTCTTCCAGCAGAACCATATATTCTGTCTTTAGTGTTCTCCTCTTTAACCAGCACAACAAAAATGGATTCATGAGATAGCTTTAAATCAAGTGTTTTCAACACATAAAATAATTTCTGGGATCTCCTCTGTAAGTTTAAAAATCCCATAAGGAACCACCAACTCAACATGTCCCCATCTGAATGTGTCCTCTTCCCTGCACTACCTGCTCTTCCATCCATCAACTCTCTGGAGCCAGGAATGTAGGTATCATCCTGGGCTGCTCCCTGCCTTTGCTTCTCACATCCAATTATTTGCCAAATCCTATCCTTTTCTTAGGAGCCTCTCAAATCTCTTCCTTTTGCTCCCTCTGCTGTGGCCTTAGTTTAGGCTCTTGTCATTGCTCACTTGCATTCCGGGGACGGCTTCCTAACTGGCACTGCTGCCTCTGGTCTAGTGTCGTCTGAACCATTCTTGTCTACATTGTAGACAGAGTGACCCTTACAAAAGTCTGTCACATCCTTCTCCTGATTAAAAGTCTGCAAAGAAAAGGAAGGCCTCTTATGACCCAACTTATCAATCTCCACTTCACCCTCTGCACATCTTCTGTTCTTGGGTCCAGCTGGTTGGAAGTATAAGCCTTTCTTTGAATAGCAGAGGCTTTTACATGCCTCTAAGCTTTTGAACTGTCCCATCACACACCTAAAGGAGAGGCCAACCACTTCTTGTCCCTATTCAAACCACCCTGGACACAATCTGATTCAGATTCCTCTTTATGTTTCTTCAGGAAGGCAGTCATATATATATATATATAGGGTCCAGCTAGTAATCAGGGCTGATCGGGACCTTCCGGCTGCCAGCGGGGCCTTCTTTCATTCTGTGATGCCCCCTCGTGGTCAGTGCATGTCATAGCAAGTGATCAAGCTCCCAGTCTCCTGATCAAACTCTTGAGGGGACACTTTGCATATTAGCCTTTTATATATATGTATAGATATTTCACAAACCCACAAAGGAAGTTTTTAGGCCATGAGTTTATATATGTTGGTTTCAGAGAGGAAGGGAGAGGTAGAGAGAGACAGAAACATCAATGATGAGAGAGAATCATTGATCGGCTACCTCCTGCACACCCCACACTGGGGATCGAGCCCGCAGCCCGGGCATGTGCTCTGAGACCCTTCAGTCTGCAGGCCAATGCTCTATCCACTGAGCCAAACCAGCTAGGGTAGGAAGGCAGTCTTTATCTCCTCAGACCCCAACCATCTTTAGTTAGGTGCCCTTCCTCTGTTCATGTAGACATTAAAGCATTTACAATAGATGTGTAAGAACCACTGTGACCATAGCTAATATTTTGCCTACTCACCACATACTCTACGAAGCCTCTATATGTATTGTTTAACCCACCAAGAACTTTTCATGTCAGGAAGTATTATTATCCCTATTTTACGTTTGATGACACAAAGCTGTCGCACAACTAGTAAAATATGGAGAGGAAGTTGAACCCTGGTAATCTGACTTGAGAGCGAGTTGTCTTAACCCAGCTTTATTGTAATTGTGGGTTTACCTTTGAGCTCTTTTTCACCCCCTCCTTCCAAGACTGCAGGTTCCTGGAGGGAAGGAGACTGTGTCTTTTTCATGTTTCCCTCTTGGCACAGGGCACAGTAGCCTATATATAGTGAATGAGGAAAAATGCATGAATCAATCTCCAAAACTTCACCTGTGGGTTGAGATTGCACAGCAGTGTCATCATTGGAATTTTTCTTTATGTGGGGAGACACAGGTTTAAAAATAATAATAAAAATAACTTTAAAAACGGAGTAAAGAACCCCTTCCCCAATATAATTAAAAGGTATTTCTAGGGTGCCCTTTCACTGTCTCCTATCACTATCCGCCTCTTAAATATGTTGATAGTACAGGACACCTTAGCAGCCACTGGCTATTTTCTCGTTAATTAATTGTGATAGGACACTCTCACCCTGAAAGGTGTTTTGAATATTTTCACACTATGAGTTTAGAGTTTGGTTAGGTCTGCATTTGAGCTTGGCCTGTCTTTCTGTGTTTCTGTGTTTCTGCTCTGTTATTCCATAAGCTTTCACGATGAACCCCTCATTCCAAAGCTTTATTAATGAGAAATATTTCTAGATTTTTATAGTCACCTATCCATCATTCACTCAACAAACATTTAATGAGTATAGACCAGTGGTTCTTAATGTGGGGCACATGCCCTGCAGGGGGGCAATTTGATTTTTAAGGGGTAGCAATTTGAGAATGAGTTATTAACAGTGACTTTTTTGCATTTCTTATGGTTCTAGGGTCCTCATATACAGTATATAGATATGTAGTGTGACATATTTATGCATTTCAGTCCTCTATGATATGTTTTGAAACTTTATTTGCTATTTTTCATATCACTTCATATTATTATTATTATTATGGCCTTTTAGGCTTCCTCCACATGAATAGGAATTCACTTTTTGATTAATAAGAATTATATGTCACAGGGAGGGCATCAGGATTTTAGAGATGCTTAGGTGGGGCATGGCCAAAAACAGGGAGCCACTGGGATAGATCAGAGCTTGTACTAGGCCCGTGGTTGGCAAACTGCGGCTCGTGAGACGCATGCGGCTCTTTGGCCCTTGAGTGTGGCTCTTCCTAAGCCTTAGGAGTACCCTAATTAAGTTTAAAAAATTTGGCTCTCAAAAGAAATTTCAATCGTTGTACTGTTGATATTTGACTCTGTTGCTTAATGAGTTTGCCTACCACTATACTAGGCACTGAGGACAATGGTGAAAACATAAGGTCCTTCCCAGCCAAGAGCTCCTTGTGCAGCCCGCTGTCCAAGCAATGGTGCAAACATGTAAACTGCTCACTTGCATCTCCCATGAGAGAACTCCTTCTGTTAACAACCTGTCAACACAGCACATCAATCTCAAACTAGACAGGATGGCTGTCCTTTTGAGAATGGCACGTTAACATTTGGATTTGAGAACAGGAAATTGTTTGATGATCCTGGAGAATAATCAAGCTGACTTCATTTGTGCTTAGTTGTAAGTGTTCTAGAACCTCCGTCTGCTAAGGCAGATGATGCATAGACAGGTGCCCGTATGTACTGATTTACACATAGAGAAGTAAGTCATAGCAAAATATCTTCTTTTCTATTAGCATTTGGCCTGTGTATATACCTCACAATGCATTAAGAATAATAAATTGTAAGGAAGAAGCAAATCTTTGAGGGAATAATCCGAATGTTTACGATTATGATAGCTTTGGATGAGCTACTTCATTTCTTTGTTCCTCAGTTTCCTCAAGTGTAAAATAAGAAGCTTGAGGTACTGCCTGAGATATTTTCCAGCTTTAATGGCTCATGAATGTGAAGCTCATTTAGCCTAAATCTGTGAATGGAAAGGGATTTTAAAATTCACATTACAGGCTCTTAATCCACTAGGCTTTTTGAAGTAATCTCTTTCTTTCTCTTCCTCTCACCACCCCACCTCCAAGGCTGGGTCTACTTGAGTCAATATTTTTCAAACTGTAAAATACTATTTGTTCCAAGTATTTTGGTTTTTACAAGAAGGTGAATGATGAAATTATGCTGTTGACAGCCAGAGATCATTAGAAGCAAACAAGCCTCAGTTAGAATGTGATCTCACTGTCATGTGATTTATTGGTTGTATGACCTGGGACAAGCAACCTCTCTGGGTCTCAGTTTTCTCATCTGTAAGATGGGGATGATAATGATGTCTATCTAATAATGCAACTGGAAGGATTGAATGAGACAATGCATTTAGGAACACAGCTTATTATT